AAAAAAAAACGATAATTATAATAATTTAGTCAAAAATTTTAAAAGAACTTTCTGATGTTCGTGAATCAGCTGGTAAATTATGTCTTCAAGAATTACAACGATCAAGTAATAGTCCATTGATTATGGCTATTTCTGGATCGAAAGGTAATTTGATAGTTAAAACAAAAGATGTATATAATTGTAGTAGATAGACGAATAGGACACACAATGACCCAGACGATGAGATACTTTTTCAAGTATATATTGCCTTTTGAGCTTATATTGAATTTACAGAGAAGATTAGAAAAATCCTAAAAATCTTTAACTCCAAGTTAGAGAAATTTTAATGAATATTTCGATTCATTTTTAAGTGTTTACTAAAAAATTAACCATTATTTGATTTTGCTTGTAAATACTTAACAATAAGTCAAAAAAATTCAGTAAAAACATCTCTAATATGAATTCACAGAAAAGAAGTTTTAAGATTTTTCTAGTCTATTTTAAATTTCTTTCTGTCACTAAGTTTCTCACACCTTCATTTCAATTCAAGTTTGTGATTCAGTTTCAATGATCGGAAGTTGTTTTGTGACAAAACTAAATTGAATCATTAATATCAGTTCAATGTATTCTTTCAATTTCATAGTATCAAAAATATTATACATATTTTGAAATTATTCTTCATAATATAATTGATAAAAAATTAATACATACTCTCTTAAAATACGTTTTTCTTTTTGTAGTTCTTTCATGAATTTAATTGTAGAAATTTTTTAAATTAATCAATTAGAATTTCTATTCAAGTATAATAAAAATTTATATGTGAAATATTTCTTTATCTAAAGATAATCTAACATTCGAATTTAATACAATTTAGTAGAAATAATTTTATATAAAAATATATTTTTAAATCAATAATTTTTTTCTATTAGGATCAAATATTAATATATCTCAAATGGTTGCTTGTGTTGGTCAACAAGCTATAAGTGGATCTCGAGTACCAAATGGATTTGAAGATCGTTCATTACCACATTTTGAAAAAGATTGTATGTTTATATTAAAAATTTTATCTATTTATTTTTGAAGAAAATAAACATATTCATAATATTATCTTTTAGCAAAGATTCCAGCTGCAAAAGGTTTTGTTGAAAATAGTTTTTATTCGGGTTTAACACCAACAGAATTTTTCTTTCATACAATGGGTGGTCGTGAAGGTACAAAAAACAAATAAATCATTATTTTATAAAGATGAAAATTTTCTTTTGTTTTTCGTTCAGGTCTTGTTGATACTGCTGTAAAAACAGCTGAAACAGGTTATATGCAACGTCGTCTTGTTAAATGTCTTGAAGATTTATGTTGTCAATATGATATGACTATACGAACAAGTACAAATGATATTGTACAATTTACATATGGTGGTGATTCATTAGATCCAATATTTCTTGAAGGTAAAGATCAACCTGTTGATTATGAACGTATTTATCAACATGTACGAGCTAAATATCGTTATAATGATGAATATCCATTAAATGGAAATGATATGAATGATTATATTTATCAACAACTTCAACAAAATGAATATTCAATTATGGATGAAGAATATAAATCACAAATTATTAAATTTATTCATAATGTTTCATTAAAAGTTGATCAATTTCGAATAAAATATCGTATTAATGATAATTCAATGGCAATTATTGAAGAAGATGAACAAGAATTACAATCAAATTTAAATCAAAAACGTGTATCAACAATAATAATAAATCGTTCAAATAAAAAACAACGTTCAATACCAAATGTTCTTTATGAAATTGAACGATGTACAAAATCACAATTATATGAATTTCTTCAATTATGTAAATATAAATATGGTCGAGCACGACTTGAACCTGGTACAGCTGTTGGAGCACTTTGTGCACAAAGTATTGGTGAACCAGCAACACAAATGACATTAAAAAGTTTGTATTTATTATTATATTAGAAATTTTTTTGACTATAGCTTTTCCAACGAATCTTTTCATGATATTTCTTTTTCTACTGTTTTTAGTTCGAACTACGAACAAATAAAAAAATATCGAATTTATATAGAGTATAGACTTCTTACTTTCTCTTTTGGCTTCATCTTCATCATCAGCTTACCAATATTACGAGAGCAAAAATTTTGCAGAGGTTAACTGATGTGTTATCTTTGAATAAATTTTATTTGTAATATTTAATCATCTAATTGTGTTCATAAGAAGACGAAACAAATTATTCATGAGTTAGCATCGTATATACGAATATGAAATTTATCCTGAAAGTATCATATTGGATATGCATAGATTCCGAACATGAATATCACGTTTTAATTCATTTGTTTGAATAAATAAGGAAAGACTCTGTAGTCTAGAAAATAAATAAAAAAAGAGTTTGTCTCTGCAGATCTTGGCAAAAACTTTTTTTGCCGTGAAATTTAGTGTATAAGTAAACATTTGATTCTAATGATATCGTGAAGTTTCTAGTCAAGACAATGAATTTCTTTCTAAAATATTCTATACTTATAAACGAATGAGATTTTAAAAACAATCAGAAAAATCGAAAACAAAATATTTCAATAAGACATTCATTTTTGATCACTAAAACTTTCACAATATTTGTAAAATTACGAGATCTATTTATGAAAAACGTTTCAAGTTAAAAAAAATCCGATGACGAAAAAGAGTCTCGACATCCTGATAGTCTCTTAAGTTTCTATAGGATGCCTATAAACTTGAATCTTTTTTGTGTTGATCCTTGCCTACAAACTATAAGTTCAAAAGCAATAAATCACTTCGGATGTTTTCCTGTCACGTTCATTGAAAAACGCTGACCATTATTTAATAGTTCTAGCTTTGTTATATAAGTTTATTTGGACTATTAATACATAGCGATAACAACTAGAGCCAATCAGAGATAAATTTTGAGTAGTTGATACAAGAATATTTCTCAATCTTATAGAAATTAGAAATTTTAAGAAGAAAAAAAATCCTATTTCTTTTTTTAGCTTTTCATTTTGCTGGTGTTGCTTCTATGAATATAACACTTGGTGTACCACGTATAAAAGAAATAATAAATGCTGTTAAAACACCTTCGACTCCATTGATTACAACTGAATTAATAAATGAACAAGATCAAAATTTTGCACGTAAAGTTAAAGGTCGTATTGAAAAAACATATCTTGGTCAAATTTCACAATATATTGAAGAAGTATATGAATGTGATGATTGTTATTTATTAATAAAACTTGATCTTGATCGTATACGTTTATTACAACTTGAAATAACACCAATGTCAATTATAGATTCAATTGTTACAGATAAAAAAATGAAAAAAGTTAAATATAATCAATTAGAATTAATATCATCTGATATAATTACATTACATGTTAATGATACATCAAAAGGAAATATGTATTATACAATCAAACGTTATAAAGAAGTTTTACCAAATATTGTTGTTAAAGGTATATCAACAGTTGATCGTGCTGTTATAACTCTTGATGATAAAAATGGTATTAAATATAAATTATTTGTCGAAGGTGAAGGTATGAGAGATGTTATGGGTATACAAGGTGTTAATGCTAATAAAACAATATCAAATAATACAATGGAAGTATTTCGTTGTTTGGGTATTGAAGCAGCACGAACAACAATTATTAATGAAATTGTTTATACAATGGGTTCACATGGTATTGGTCTTGATGTTAGACATGTTATGCTTCTAGCTGATTTAATGACTTATAAAGTAAAATTTTTGTACTAATTGAACGTAAAGGAAAGCAATCGACTATAACACTTGTTTATACTATGTCTTGGCCAGTTCAAATACTCAATGACTGTTGAGGATGACCAGCATTTCTTTATCTATGCATTTAAAGACTGACATTGTTCAATATGACTTCACATAGAGCACATAACTCTGATATGCTCATAATTCGAGTATTGTTTCACTGAAATGGTGTGTCAATATCATCTGTCAGGCTAGTTCTTATATAGTTTGATAGCATTTGAAAAGCGCTACAAACTAGTTAAATTATATGACATTGACATACGATTTCAACAAACAATACCCAAAATATTAGAGTTATGTTCTCCATGTGAATTCATAGATAAAGAAAAATTGATTATCTTTAACAGCCGTTGACTATTTCAATCAACCGAAAGATAGTGTTATAAATCTAATCATTAGTTATTGACCTGTCTTCTGTATTAAGAATTTTCTTTTTATCTAGGGTGAAGTACTTGGTATGACAAGAAATGGATTAGCGAAAATGAAAGAAAGTGTTTTAATGCTTGCATCATTTGAACGTACTATTGATCATTTATATGATGCTGCTTATCATGGACAAAAAGATACTATATGTGGAGTATCTGAATGTATTATAATGGGTATACCAATACGTATTGGTACTGGAATATTTCAATTATTATATAAGTAAGAATAAAATCAGAATATTTTGATTATAAAAAAAAAGAAAAGATATTTTATGTGTTCTTTTGCTGTTTCGTTTAGACATCCAAATCGTGGAAGTTTAACACAACGAAAATTATTATTTGATAATCTTGATATGCATCAACCACTAGTTGTTTCTTGAGCATGTTTTTTTTTCTTCCTTTTTTCTTTTGTGATATGTTTCCTAACCGTAGGGAAAATAAATCTGAGTTTTTTTTTTGTTCTAGATGAGTGTTGTTGGACATAGAGCTCCACCGCCAATACCAGCAGTAATATTTTCTTAGAAATTTCTAGATTTAATCATTTATTTTCATGACTTTTTCTTTTTTTTTTTTTTGTAGAAACCAGGTTATGTTTCAATTGTTAAAGCTTTGTATAGTTATACAGGTAATTATTGTTTATTGAGAAGAACAATCTAATCGATTTAAATGTTTAGCACGTTCACCAGAAGAATTATCATTTGAAGAAGGTGAAATACTTTATGTAACTGATGATGCAAAATATAAAGATTGGTATTTGGCTACAACTAATAAAAATCGTACAGGTGGTCTTATTCCCAAAAATTATGGTAGATAATATATTACATTCGTTGAGTCTTTTTTTAAAACTTTTTTTTTTTTTTATTCAACTTTATAATTTAGTTGAAGAAAGTACAGAAAAACTTACAAATGCATTACATGATGCAGCTAAACGTGGCAATATTGAATTTCTTCAGCAATCACTTGCTAATAAGGTACAAAATAGAAATACAATAGTGACGATAATCACCAGTCTTGAATAGAGCGCTACATAGATCTAGACATGTACACGTAGATTAAAAGGGGCCTTTGTATCACTCATACAAAACTTATTTTATATAAAAATAATTTTTATATGTAATTTAGGCGTCAGTTCTTGGTCTTGATAAAGCAGGCAACACACCATTTCATTGGGCGTGTTATTCAGGTGATATGGATTGTGTTAAATTATTGTTACCTCTGTCATTATCAATTATCAACCAAAAGGTATAGTTTCTTTTTTTGTTTACAATGAAATCAATACTTAAAATTTTATTCTAAAAAGATTGATAAGACGAAAGATTATTGAACGGTGTATAAGATATCTCAAACGGATACGAGACAATCTGAAAACATTGTTTTGTTTTTTTGTTAAAAGCGAAAAATTAAAACTAATGAATTTTTCAGTTATATGACAGATTCGGATTGAGTTAATAACCTGGTTTCGATCATTCAATTCTTTAAAAAGAAAACTGAAACTTTTAGTAGAAAAAAAACCTAGGCAACTCAAACAATGTCTAGTATCTGTTACCAAATTTTTAGTTTTATCAGAGACAATGGTATGTTGAGACTATCACAATTTTTACTCTACTCATCGTGCCATAAAGTCGTTAAAATTAGTTGGAAAGCGAAGAAAATTCTCTTTAAAGATTCAATCAAAAGCAATCGAGATTCATGAATTCGAATCTATTGATAGTTTTTTCAAATTAGTAACTTTCACTTTTTTTCATGTATCAAAACAAAATGACAAAATTTGTTATGTTCTATCTAATAGATTTTGAAGAAAAATTCATACATAACTTTTTTTTTTCTTATATATTTTATTAGAACAATGTTGGTGATACACCATTGCATGTAGCTAGTTGGAAAAATCATGCAGATATTGTTCAAATGCTCGTAGAAAATGGTAACAAATAAAAAAAAAGAAAGAATATTTATTGATTTCTTTATTTTTATGTAATAATTTATTAGGTGCTGATAAACGTATTCGTAATCAAGATAATAAAACACCACTTGATCTTACTCATGATCCAAATATTCGATCAATACTAGAAGATAAAGGTAAATTTTGTTTTTTTTTAAACTCAACATATTTGTTATTCATTCTTTTTGCTTATTTCTAGTTATTTTTTCTAATTATAAACCACGTAATACTCAACAGAATGATGATGGTAATGGTGAAGATGATGATTCAGATTAAAATCATTATTCTAAAAGACAGAAAATTCATTTTCTCTTAATCTATCTTATCTGTTTAAAGTCGTTTCATTTAAATATATAATACATTCCTTAGAAATTCTTGTTTCGTTTTTTTGTTTTATTATGTCAACACATTTACAAATATTAATACTTTCATAGTTAAATAAAACAACAAATAAAATATTCGCTGTACTGAATAAATATTTGATGATGATGATGATAGCAATAGTAAATGATTATTATTTTGACAATTATCTATATAACGTAAACTATTTTCGACATTAATTGATAATAAACCAATATTTGTACAACTGGTTTCAGATAAAATCCAACTAGCTGTCATTGATTTTAATGGTTGAATCTAAAGAAAATATTTTAAACAAAATAATAATTTCTAATGGAATATCTATAGGAGTAAAATGTAAAACATCATCTAGTTATTCTTATTAATCAAGGACAAATTGTTTTCTTCTTACTTTATCTTCTAGAAATTCAATACTGGATACAACTTTTTGTACAAGTTCATTTTAATTATAACTTTCTTTTTGAAATTGACTTTTGAGATGTAGTTTACGTCTGAGACGCTTGTACTAGCCACAGAGTTCAAATCAATCCTAGTTATGGGATATATTTTTATTAGTAAAATCTATTCCGGAAGTATTTTCTTCGAGATTAATTTAAATTTGCATAGAAAATGCTCTTCAAAATCTTTTATATTTGGTTATGATACTGAAGATGTCGATATTTCTTCAAATACTCGTTCGAATATTTCACTTCGTAGACATTTTAAGAAAGTATATCCAGTATTTTATAACTAGACGTTATAATATTATTAGAACGTGTTTAAAAAAAAAAAGATATTTAAAATTTTTCATTTACCAAACAAAATGCTTTTGTTTTGTCATAAAGAATCATTGTACGTTGAAATCGATGATCTGTACGCCATGATGCAAGACATATACCTTTAATTGATGTTATAACTTGTACATCAGGTACAATATCATGACGACAAGATGAAGTTAATGTTAATTCATTTGGATTTATTCTTTGACAACCAATTGATAAAGACCAAAGACCAATTGAACATGTTGAAATAGGTAAAGGTGATCGAAGAGGATTTAATGATTTATAAATACCAATTTGTGGACATGAAATATTTGATTTTGTCATAGGTTCTAATTAAATAAATTATTAATTAACAAAAAAAAAGAGTAGAAAAATAGATAACTTACTAAATAGAGTATAATGTATATGATTTTCTTTACATTGATGTTCATCAAATCCTGAAATAATTTATAACATATATATATATATCGGAGATTTTATTTTTCTTTTTTTAAAATCACAGTTATCTTTTAATGAAATCGTGTTGTTCATATAATATTTTAAATATTAACGTCTTTGAAATGTAACAAGAAGAGAAGAATTGATTTTACTGCTAGTATTTTATTGTTTGATAGGGCTCTCGTGTTCTATATGGAACTATTCTTATTTTGTTGTTGTGTATAAAAACTAGGAAGAACTCATTGTTAATGTTCTTTATTAAAGTAGACAAAAAGCAAAAAATGGTTTGACTCGCGTCACCCTGAAGAATATTGCTGAATAGAAAATGATACCGGTTATTCAGTCTAACTTATTGATTGACTACTTTCTATTACATAAATTGATGTAGGAAAATCTACTTAGACCAATACCGGTTGTTATAAAAATCTAGATTTCATCTTTACATCAAGTATTCAATTGATTTCGAGATAAGATTTGCCTCATTAGATAGGTCCTATTCAGACTATAAAAAGCTTTTTTTTTCCAGTATTTCTTGAGATATAAATTTAAGAACTATAAAATTTTATATTTACATAATTAATCTCAATGAAATCTTTTATTTTACAAGAGCGTTTTATCACTTAGCAAGTACGACTTATTATCTAAACTTTGAATGAATTTAATATTTGATAAATGTAATATACCTATAGAAAGATCAATAACGGCTGAAGATCGATAGATTAATTTAATACAATAAAATATTGATGAACTAAAAATAAAATCTTATTTATTTAATCTTTCTAATCATTTTTTTACCATTGTTCTAAAGATTTTGCTCGTATATAAATACTTTTTTCATGTTGTTGTTGATTTTGTATAATACGTTGAAATTTAAGATCATATTTTATTATTTGATCATCATTCATTTTCATTATAAGTTGACTTTGATTGATAAGAAATGTATTTGTATTAATACGATCTGTTCTAATTGATAACCATATGCCTTGTGTCCAATCTGGCATTTGAACTTTTGATTCATAATATTTATCTAAAAAATATGTTATGATTTGTTTGTTTGTTATAATTTCTTATAAAATAATTTACTTGATAGAACATTTAATATAAGAGCTGATTCTCTTGTTAATAAACTTCTACAAGTTTCATCTTCAGATAAATAAACTTCATTTGGTAGTGAACTTTTTTCATTAATTTTTGTTTTTGTATATGACTAAATTATAAAAATATAATAAATAATTAATAAAAATAAATTTAATTTTACAAAACAAATAAATTTTCGTTGATTTAAATTTCGAGATATAATATAATTCATATTTCCATCAGAAAATTGAGCAATACATATTGCTGTTATATCTATTTTATAATGAATATATTTAAATAAACTATAATAAAAATAAACCTTTATTTGATTGACATCGATTATTATATAATATTTGAAATGTATTTAATGATAAACAATTATGAAATGCTTTTGGTTGACATAATGAAGATATTTGATGACTTTTTTTAAAATACCATATTTGATCAAATGGACATGGAATTGGTTCAGCATTATCTTTATAAAAACAAACAAAAAAAAGAAAAGACTGTTACTGGAATTCCCGCGAGATTAAATATCTGTAGCTGTCTCAGATATGCAACGTATATATTTTAAAATATAGTCTATTTAATGTTCTGTATCATATTCAATCAGTTCTGAGTAAAGAAACCGACTGTCTGTGATGATGAGTACGAATTTCTATTCTATAGACTTCAACATTATATTTAGATAGTCTTTCACAAAAGAAAACAATATTCAATCTTTCATTTTGACAGAATGATCGAATGGTGCCGGGAGCTGTATTCATTTCCTGTGTTTATCTAGGTCAGTGAACACTACATGTCGGCCAATGTCTAGTCCATTCACAAGAGAGTATTATTATTCCCTCTATGCACTATTAGATTTTTTTTTTTTTTTTTTTTGTATTAATGAATATCAATTTTGATGAGCAGATTAGGCTTTTCTTTCTTTCTTTTTTTTTTTTGAAAAGTCTATCTTACCCCGGAAGAGTGTATATAATACTGTATCAGGTGTAATAGAACCACAAATACGACTATTATCATCATCATCTGCATCGAAGCATTCACCTAGAAATAGACAAAATTATTATTAATAATGAGAGAAACAAAAAAAAAAAAAATTGAATAAAATATAATGTTCTCTTTCTATTGCTGTACTAGCGGAAATACGTGACTATCATTTGTAGATGAAACATTGCATGTATAGAACATCAATAAAGAATAAAAAAAAATGCCATCTGTACATATTGATCGATAGTAATTTATAATTATAATGACATGATGATAGGTTTTTTTTTAATTTTATTTTCTGTACAAATACATACTTTCACGATATTGTAATGCATTTGAATGTCTTGGAATAAAAAGTATACAACGTTTACATCTTGTTTGTCTAAGATAAGAATAAAAATTGTCATATTTTTTTTTTATAAAATATTATAATCTACTCATTATAATAAATATATTTATATTTTATATCTTGTTGTCCATGTAAACATGTTCCTTTTAATGAAAACCATGTATTATTAATTGTTATTAAATCAATAAGACCTGGTTGTATCCATATACCAATAAATGATGAAGAAATAGTACAAGATGATAATAATGAATATGATGAAAGACCTAAAATAGATCTTTTAAATATTAATCAATCATAACCTTTGACTATAATCTACAAAGATTTATCACTTTGAAGTGTCAATGAAACAGTATAGATTTTCTTTATACATATATCATGACCTTTTCTTTTTTATTAAATATACAAGCAACTGACCATAGTCTCAAAAAGCACTTGAACCTTTTTTTCTTTTTTCTTCTTCTTTTTAAAGTATAAAAGTGATGCAAACATATAATCCTAACAGAGATGTAAGAGAATAATGTTTGGTTTTTTTGTTTATAATGAATAAGTTGAACTTATCCAACGGGATAGAACGAACGAGTTGAGTGAGAACAAAACAATCAAAATGTCAACACTATCTCTGACACATATTTTCAATGCGGAAATTGAAAATCGATTCATTTTTTTCCCCCTCTCGTTTAAAAATGCCTAAGGGTGATTAAATTTTATTCATTTTTTTATTTCATACATAATTGATTAGCAAAACTAATTTTTAATATAAAACGGTTCAATAAATATATTTGCCTATGAAACTATTTTCTTTTAAACTTACTCAATGTTGTTAACATCAATAAAATATAAAGAATTTTATTGCAAATCATTATCAATGATCTTCATCGTTTGATATCTAGAAAAAAAAATATATAACCTAGAATTCAAATCTGATATCTCTTACCTATGTATGAACAAGCAAGTTATAATGTCTGTTTATATGATTGTCATCTTAAGACATCTGTGACGTCGGTTTTAAAAATTTATGCTATATACCTACGCCTGTCACATTGTCTATCGTAACAGCAGCTATCACAATGAGCTGTTTCACAGAAGTAAAAACTTAATTGTAGTAATAAAAAAAAAATGGAAAAACGAGATGATTTTATTCATTCATTCTTTTTCTCTTGTATTCAATAAAGAGAACGATGAAAAAAACGAGAGAGAGAGAGAGAGAAAAAAAAAGATGAGTATTCAATAGCTATATGAATGTCATAAGAGAAAAAGAGAGAGAGAAGAGAAAACAAACGACTGATCATGGTTATTGTATCGTTTTCTACCGGTTATTATCATTAGCTAATGGATCTTAGTTTCATGATCATCTATCTTTTTAGCTGATCAAATATAATGTAGAATAAAAATTAAAAAAACATACACATGTGCGTGTTCAATTGATCAATATAAAAAAGAAACGTTATAATCATTTTCGTGCTGACTGTCATTTCTCTTTTTAATTGACATAGTTGGCACGCCCTAATTAGACTTTATCTTTCTATTCATTACAACGATTATTCCGCGAGAAGATCCGTTTGTAAGTAGAGTGTAAAAAGAAAAAAAAAAAAAACCTTGAGTCAAATAAAGTTATATATGTAACGCACGATCAAATTTCTATTTTAATCTAGCTTTGTCTTAAGTAATTAATGTTTATCATTTGTAATCATCATCATTTTGTATAAGAACATAATATATTATGTCCTTGAAGAAAATGAATAATGTATACAAACTTTATCTTTAGTTCAGACACATCTGTCAATGAAAAAGAACGTTTCCTTTTTTTTTTTTTTGAATTGCCGATCATCCAATCGTCTTATGGTTTGTGTTGTTGAAGGATTAAATTTATTAGAAAAGAAAGCGAAGTCAAAGCTTTGTATGTGACATCGGCAGATGATTAGATGGTTCGTTTGATATTCTTTTATAGAATTTGATTCTATATGGTATAGTACGATGATAAAATTAAATTAGTGATGTGTCAAATTATCGAAAGTCATTTCAACTCTTATTATATACAGACAAAGTTTATTGATTAATGCATTGAATTCAAGTAGACAAATTATCTTCTTAATATGAATGTCAGACAAAAAAAATTAATCTATTTACAATTTTGTAAACATACTGAAAAAAGAAAAAGAGAAATAATGTATTGGTGTATTGTTTTATTAGAGATTATAATAGTAAAAAATTAACTGTTTGTGGTCTATTGGTGTATTTGTTATAACCGATTCGTATAAAATATTTTTTTTTCTTGTTTTTTCATTTGATTTAATAAAAAGAAATGTAAACACCATAGCCAACCACTCTGAATGTGGTCGCTTCCCTCCTTGTCGTATCACGATGGATGCAACAAGGTGCGATCATCAAAGGAAGCAGGCCGAGCTCTCGAGAAGAGAGCAGCCCCATCCTACTTCACGCTCAAGAAGAACCACTGCCACTCATCATCGTGGTTTGTTTGGGTCTTCTTTGGCTATGGGTGTTTTGTCGATATGTACTACAGAAAATGATCCTGTGAAGTACAATCTTAATGTTTGCTATGTTTTCATGTAGCTTTTATAGTCGACTAACAGGCAAATATTGCATAGTAAACTTTTCTTTTTTTTTTTTTCGTTCTATTTACTATGACTCATATATTGTATAGTGATAAAGAACAAAAGAAAAAAAAAAACGTATATCTATTGATTTACATGTGTGACATGTCAACAATCTTTTCTTCTAAGTAGCTGAAGATATATTAGATAAAATGTTTTATTAATATAGTAAAGATGAACATCAACAAAATTATTATGTATTAGAAAAAGATAATGTAATTTATTTTTGTCACTAATTAATTATAAATTAATTTCATAGATATAAAGCATTTACATCTTTTTTTTTTCTAGCTGAATCTTATAAATATCGTAGTGAAAGCACTTCTATATATATAATTCTATACAATTTTTTCTTGTTAACAAATATCTAGAAAAATACTATGATAAGGATAAATCAAAGAAATTGTAAATTAATAAACTATTTTCCATTGTGATCAATAATAACGATTAAGAAATTATTTAGACATGCATTAAATTTGAACTGTTTGGCTTCTGCTTTGTATGAAATCATTTTCAATTAATTAATATACAATAAAATAAATGATTTAAAAGCTGAATGAATATAGACATCCTATAAGAAAGTTAATCATATTCACAAATGTTTGAACTTAATCAAATCTTGAAAATACTTTGATCATCATCCATATAGCTCAAGAAAGGCTTGAACAATTATGTAAATCCTTAACATTTGAAAGTGGTTGAATAGTCTTCGAACTCGACTGTTCGATCTCGAATGTCTTCAGAAGTATCTTGACTCAAACTTTGTTTTAGAACACAACTTAGATGATATTCTTAATTACTAATTATGCTTTCTTTTTCGTTATTAGTTTAGGTAGCAACTGCTCTTCCTTGGATGCCTCTATTTTATAGATTATTGAAGTGTAACATTGTTACTCATAGGGGATGCATCAGGAATAAAATATGTACCATTATTAATTTTCTTTGAAAAATTTGGAGAAGCAATACGAAGTTATTGTTTGTCTTAAGAAAATTGATCTTGATTCAACTATGCTCAGTACACTTGTGGATTTACATTTAGACCTTGATCTAATGATTCATATATCTGTAATTGCAGACTAGACACATATATATATGGTAATAGTGTTTGTTATTTAATCAACGTATAAGAAAGTAAGAGTTACCATCTTTGATTTTTTACTTGTGGACATATACTTATCTGTCAATAGTTAACCAAACATGAGAGGTATTGCTTATGATTTTAATGAGCAGAATTTAACTATCGGTAATGTTTCGACCAACATATGCATCAAATGTTAGGTAAGTCTTCTGAATAAAGTTCTTAAAAAGTATGACATAAAGACTTTTAGAGTATTATAGAAATAAACTAGTTTATATTGTTACACCTATTAATATATTCTTGGAGGATAAACATGGGAACTGAAACATTTTGTCATCATTGCAGTCGAAATGATTTGATATATAATAAGACAATACTGTCAGCAATGAATAATTATGTCTATAATTCAAATCAAATTACAATAATCTTATGCTTTACATGTTTTCCTTGTTATTACTTTAAAAATAAATTATCTTTTTGTAATTTAAGGGTGTGGGTCTTTCTTATTGGTCAAATCTACACATACGCTCTCACGTTGAGTTGTGCAATGGTACTGACATTTATAGATTTTTTCATAAGTATCTTTCGATGATTGATATTTGATAACGAACAATGGTCATAAACAGAATAAAGTGTTAAACAAAGAATAAATCATACATTATCTACTCCTAGTAGTTAGCAGCAGAGTTCTACATGTCGCGATTAATTTTAGTGCTTGAATTCGGATCTGGTCATGTTTCTTATTGACATCCAATTATAAATATATATATACCGGGTGAGCCGAAAGTTTGCGACATTTTTGGTTTGCATGTATCTGTATTCAAGAACATGATGAGATTTCTCATTTAATGCTCTATCGAAATTACAATAATCAAATGTGTTGATCTCTTTTTGAAATTTTAATAAACCAATTAAGATGAAGATGTGTATTGTCGCACACTTTGTCCCATTAAAGGAATCTGAGATACTTTCAATATTTTTAAATAGGCTATATCAGATACTGTTCATTCATTCTTGAGCACAATATTTGCAAAAAGCAGGAGTGTAGAGAGTCTATTAAAACAGAATGGTTATTATTCATTCTAAGTTTAATCATAAAAATCTTTGTGACTTTTGTGTCTACTTTTCATGGCACAACTTCCTCAGAAGGAGTTTTTCTAGTGATGTTCTTCAAAAATATGTTTAACAAAAAAAAAAAGATATGAACTAAAAAGAATATTGCACAAAACAATATCAAGAGATAACTTCGTCAATTTAAAATAGGAAATGTTCCTAAACGGAGATACATGCAAAATAAAAATGTCGCAAAACTTTTGGCTCATCCAGTATAACGTAGAAATGAAAGTTTTTAAGTTTTACTCAAAACTGATTTTTGTGTCAACAATGGTCAACTTCTTCAAGCGAGTGTGTAATGAGACTCAAAATGGTGAAAAGAATACGAGTTAAGAAAAAGAGTTCTTTTCTTCTTTTGGATACTTGTGAAAAATTTTATGAGAATCAACAACTGATTTTCAAGATGAGAAGCAATCTTGGTACGGCCTACTTTCTCACCAATAGCAATATGATTACAATCCGTTGTCAGAAAGTAATTGTCTAGGTTTGAGGTGTGGGTGTTGTTGCATGACAAATAATTTCTGTAATAAATCTTGTTCACTTTCAACAAAAACACAATAGTCAGTTTCATTTTATATCCTATAAAATTACGATATTAAATGCCGAAGATAAAAACATAATTGGCTTTTATTCTTGTTCATAGGCACAGATCGATATACTTAGAGTTCGTTGACGATCTGCCAATGAATTATGTCTATATTCCATTGATCACATTAGAAATTTATTTAATATATAACGAAGGTAATGATCAAGGATAAATATTGAATTTTCAAGATAAATCCGAAAATATCTGTAATCAAGTACATGATGTACACGAACATACTAAAAACTGCTTCTTTCATAGAAATAATATTTAATAAAAATAAGTATGATTTTGTTGATGAACGATAAGAATTAAGAGTATCTAAACAATATTAATAAGTGAAAACAAATGCAGATGATATTGAACTATTTCAACGGTATAGGCTTTCTTTTTCTAATTTATCACGATAGATATTAATAAGCATTGGTTTAAATATAAATC